CGACCAAAGACATACTTAAAGACAGTTTCAACATACAAAGAAAATGGTCAGCCAGCAACTTTGAAATGAAAAAGTTCCGCAAAAAGCCGTCATGTGAAATCTTCCCGTTAGCATTGGAGCGCAGAAACTGTCACTCGAAGCTAGAGGCTCCTTTTCACTTGGGTGAAGGACTTCAGCCCATTTCACGTCCTTTTCAAGTATTTTACGCCTTTTCCGCACAGGGATTTCGTAGCAACTTCTTCTGAAATTGTTTTTGTAAGCAGACCACGTATTTGATTAACCTCCTACGCTTAACTGGGCTTTTATTCAGGGCGGAGAATTCGTTGGATTCACTAAGCCGTTCGTGGACTAGAACCAGGTGAGTGCTGCAGTGTTCGTTTTCCAGAGTTCCGCGTTCTATAGCATATTTTTTAGGTATGGGATCAGTCGATGTGGGAGAGTTGTCGTTGCCGCCAGACTCGTCGGGTCAACAAACACCGACGTTCTCCCAAAAGCTAGCTGATACTCTGAAGGGGAATCCATACTTCAACGCTGGAGCCGGACTGGCTGGAATAGGTGAGGGATAGTTTGTCCATCTTCTTTTTTTCCAGAAAGCGACTCAGGGCACGTTCTGCCGTTGGGGAAAGTTTAGAAAATACCATCCTTCCTCGCAAAGAAAAAGCGAGAGTGGGACGGGTTCCTCCAGGAACCAAATGCGACCACCTCTACGGGAATTCCCAACGTAAGACGTGTGCTGAAAGCCAATTTAAGGTGTTGTTCGTATTCGCCTTTCCATTCATTACTAGAGAAACGTCGAATTGGGCGAATACGGTCTACGAAAAGATTAGGCAGCGTTCAGACTTCGCGCTGCGATTGCTTGGATCCCGCGATCCAATCGGTCGGAGTGCGAAGTGTGAACGTGCGAACCGAACGCTCGAGCAATTCGATCGCGCGATCCAAGCGAGTGTAAACGCTTTTTCAAATTTCTATCGTTGGAAGAATTGCTGATTCCCTCGATTCTTACCCTTGCTCAGCTTTGCGGAGCTCCCCTTTCGTAGCACAACCCTAGTCCTTTTCTCCAATTATTTGATTTTGCGGTGGGGCGAATTGTGATCGTAATGGTAGGAGTTCTACCATTCTGGCGATCCCCGGTCCGCGAGCTGATGCAGGTATGAACCCTGTTTTCTGGAGTACGCGAGTACAGTCGTGTATGTGGCGTTTCCCCTTAAATACCGGTATTGTTCCTTCCTCGCTTTACTTTTACGTTTTCGTTCTGTTCACTCTTATCTAGCTGAGAGGCCTGTATTTAATGAGATGTTTGATAACCAGCTGGAGAACAAGAACCAAAGACAGTAGTTGCCGCGGTGTTGGGCAACCTGTCGTGTACTTCTCTGCTATCTTGCTTGTGAATGCACCTTGTGTTTGGCTGTACTTAAGCCCTGTCATGAAGCTACTGAATCGCTCGAGTTATCCAGGATAATTCACCAAATAACGTTCCGCTGCGTCCATACTATGTGACACATTGAACGGAAAAAATGCGTGAATCGAGAGAATGAGACCAATGGACTGGGAACTGATCATCCATTCAACGCTTCCCCGATTCATTGATTTTCCCCGTTCTTTATACTTCCCCTTGCGCGAATTCTCCCTTTCCTCACATCGTTCACATCCTCTGATTCTCCAGAGCTGCAAGGTGTGAGCGAGGCCTGTAGGATAGTAGATTTTTTCACCTTACTCATTCTCAGTAATTTGAGGACTTGCATTGGGTGTGCTTCGTCGAAGTGCTATCATTGGTAATGCATATTTTCGTCGAAGATTCATGATTTCGCTCCAAATCGACAATGAAGACACGTACGTTTGGTTTAGACTCAGCAATCAAGTTCTTTTATTAACTTCGAGTATTTCAGTGCTTATCCGTGGTTGCTGGACTTCATAAACAGGAGGAGTGCAAGGCAGACTAGAAACCTTTCTGTTAACACAAGAATCTCGCAGACGGAAAGTGGAAGGACTGCCATGAAAATAACATATCTGCCTGGTCATGGTCAGCATTATTTTGTGCACAAATACAGGTGATCCCTGAAAATCATTCACTGTTCTTACTTTAGCCCCACCATAGCACTGAGAGAATTTGAAGTTCTACTTAACAAGTTGTAGATGGATCAAGGTAGAACGTCAACGAGAAAAGCAAACAATTCAGAGGAATGGTTACCGTACCCCTTTCGAGACCGTGACACTGACCACGTTGGGGACCGACACTTCGTTTTTTCAAAAACCTTCTTGAGGAAGCATCACAGGAGGCGATCTCAAAGGTATCCTGCTATTACCAACGAAATTCATAGACACTCTTTACTTGCTCTTAGACTGAAACAGGACTAGTCGTATATCAAGCTGTTGGTCCTCAATGGTTACGATTTGGGCCCGAGATATTGAGTCAGTCGTATTAGATGGAAATATCGCCCAAGAACTTGTCGCAGATTTCCAGGAGTTCACGACTTCTTCACAATGGTCAGTTCTTTTTCTAGAGCAGCTCACATGGTGTTTATCAGAGAGTTTGGGCCCCGTTCTGCTGATGGGTTCGACGAACTCAAAAGCGAGGCGGCCCAGTTCATATAGAGGGTGAAAAGGGGAGTGTTTTATTGTTTTCCTTGCACCTTTGCTGCCGTCGCCACGCTTGGAACTACGCACTTGGAAACGCCCCTTCTTGCCCTCAAGTATAAGACCTTCTTACCTTCACCTATAGAAGATTGGTAACCAATCAGCTTATTGAAAAGGATGGTCGCTGCAAGAACTTCTGGAAGCAAAAAACATTTGGGGTGCATATCCGTAGAGGGGTTTGGAACGGCAGCTTTCGCTTTGCATGTAAAATTCCAATGTAAAGCGTATGAACCCGAAAGTCTATGATAGAGTTTAACTGTCGTTCAGTGGAGTACGGGATTTCCAAGTTGAAATACTTACAGTCACTAATGCCAGAGCCAGCGGGATTCTTAGCCTTAATCGCAGCGCGAGCACCTTTGCATAGATCATCGCTGTTCCTGGCATTCAGTGGGTAGGAAAGTGGCTTGGACTACAGCGAAATCCACTGACACGCCTTAGGTCACTTCAGTGATATTAACTGCCGGTTCTGGCGCGAGCGCGCGCTGCTGTACGCCGCTTCCGATGCCGTCCTCGTCTCATCGCCGCAACGTGGATGTAACGTCCCGTATCCTCGTCGGCTTTGACGCGCCTCACAGCTGATTTCAGCGTGGTCTAACTCCGAAAAACTGTTTTTTTGGATAGGATTCAAACTGTAGTATTAGTCTTTTTGAGGCGAAAATCAATCATTTTCCACAGGTATTCTGAACGAGGTGTACCCTATAGACGCGGATATTTGTTTTATGGACCACCAGGTACGGGTAAGAGCAGCTTCATCTCTGCCATAGCCAGCCACTTTGGATACAGTATTTGCATGCTCTCACTCAGTGAAAGGACACTCGATGATGACAGGTTGGGAAGTTTTGTGTTGGATATTAGCTGAAAAACGAACTGTATACCCTTATCCGTGGATTTTGACCCTTGTCGTGTGCGAGGTGAACGGGTTCGCAGCAGCCGTTCCTGTTTACTCCGCTAGTGCATGGGAATGGGTCTGTGGGTCTGGAGGGTAGTGATGACCGGATGCCGTCTTTCGACGCCGCCCGCGCTGCCGCACGGTCAGCCACACATCTAACCATAGCCGAACGCTCTTTATCCGTGCACTCTCTCTTCTAATCCTTTGATATCAGCACAAGTGCTGCTCCTTGAGGATAGCGGGGACGACGAGACGGGAGAAGGCCCGCGAGTATCGCTACTCTTCAACCCAGTTCCCGGGCACTTTCGAACGAGGAAAATGGCACGCTTATGCTGCCGTGGACTCTTTCACCTCGCATATAACCAGGACAGTTTTGGAAGATGAATATACAAGTTGTTCTTACTTTAGCGTAGTACGGCGGAAGCGTTAATTTCAGACTCAACCATCTCCTCAACACTGCACCCGTTAACAGTGTTGTGATATTAGAAGATGTTGATGCGGCATTCGGTGCGCGAACTGATCCTATGGACAACCATCCTGCCTATCAAGGGATGACGAGGTCGGCCACATCTGTTCAGAATATGTTCCTATAAACATGAAGCAAAATTAAGTTTCTGAGATTCATTATGAACCAAGCATCCGCTAACCATAAGGGATTTATTCTTCGTAATATAGCACCATCAAAACTTTTACTAGATGTTTTGGGAGACACCATCCTGGCGTTTTTGGGCGGATGTAGCTGGGAAAAAACGTTATTGGCACGCCCCTTTCTCTAGAAGGTATAAGGCGAACGAGCGTCAATGATATTGTTCTATGATTCCGTCCACCCCGCAATCTCAGCCAGTGTCTTGAGCATGGAGAATTTCAAACATGGCGATGACTTTCACATCTTGTTTCAGAGTAACGTTCTCTGGACTCCTGAATTCCATTGATGGTGTTGGCTGCGCTGAAGAAAGGATTCTCTTCATGACTACAAACCACGTTGATCGCTTGGACCCTGCTCTCATACGTCCTGGCCGCGTGGACAGAAAGCAGTTTTTCGGCAACGTCACTGAAGGAATGGCGATGAAGGTAGTTCTTACCTTGGGCTATATCTTTCAGCGAGTTCCAGTGTCTTCCACCCCCCGCCCACATGGGGACGTTATTTCCTGCCAGTTCAATCTTCATGCTGAATACCATGCCTCTTCTTTTTGATGAACAGGTGTATGACTGTCGGCGCTTGGATCCGGGGGACCAAGTCTAGCCTCAGAAAGGTGCCTAGAGTTCTTGGGTAGCTCCAGAGCAAAATCAACTTCAACCAGCAAACCTTACATGGATGGAAAAAGTGGAGTTCTGAGGAGTCGCATTTCCTCATAATATGAGCATATGGATAAGTCTCGTCGCTTGAAGCTAATATATTCTTATTTTCAGATGTTCACGAGATTCTATGGCCTATCATCTTCCGATCCACTCTGCAAGGAATTCGTGGCTCGCGTGAAGTCACTCGGACGTGAGCTCTCACCTGCGGAAGTTCAAGGGCACTTCCTGCTGTACAAAAACGCCCCTCAAACGGCAGTTGATCGGATTTCAGTGAATTTATGATTCACTCAAGAAAGTATCTTCATAGGAATAGTTCATGTTTTAGACCATTTTTTCCAAGTTTTGTTGATTGAATATTTTACGTGTGTTGAAAACCTAGCTGTTGTAACGCCATGTGCAGTGCCTTGCGTAGATCCTTAGATCTTACCAGTACAGCTTACAGAATAGTATGATAGTTCAATGGAATTTCGCCATGACAGAAATCTAAACGGAACACGTATTTCTGCTTGTCCAATCAATGTGGAGGCAGCCACTCATGGGAAAGGATTAGTCACGTCCTCTTATACACGGTATCGATCACCATATGAGAAGTGAACTTGATGGTGAGCGCCCGTTCTTGCACTGATGGTCTCGGTCTTAAGCTGTTGGGTACAATGACGCAGGGGCATACGGCATGCGCTGGTGTCCTACGCTTTCGCATGGTTGCAGGCCAGGCCATCAAGGTTTTTTTCGAAAACGGACAAGCTGCTCATTCCAATGCACGAATTCCTGACATGACACAAAATGGCTGATGCCGTTTGAAAGCGCTCAGTTTTGGCTGCCGGCTCATTTATGAAGTGCCTAGGATACGTAAATCTGCTGAAAACTTCGCATACAGGACTTATTTAACATCCTGATTACGAATATACATTCTCCAGTCCAGCTCCTTCTTTGTCACGGCCCGGCTTCGCCGGGCCGGCCTGGCTTCGCCAGGCACTCTTTCCTTAGGCGAGGTAGAGTGTGCAAAATACCGTCACAGTGCATTTTCCAGCAAAATGTAGAAAAATAATTGAAAATAGCTCGAGCAATGGGTTAAAGTTGAATCTGGCCAGAGGATCGTGCAACATACAGCGCTTTGTTACTTCCGAAATTCTAATGACATCAAAAGAAAGAGCCTGACGCCCCTTATCCAATCTTATCAGATGCTGGCAGTTTTTGTCACCAACCTAGTGTTCCTTTCCTAAACCCTACATCGTATCTTGGAACCAACCTCCTACTGTTGCTGTGACTCGCGTGATGGACTCAGTGACCATACCCTTCTAACATCTCGAATCTTATCAGCAGCTGACAGTTCTTGTCATCCACCAATAATGTTCCTGTCCCATACCCTAAATCATATGTTGGAATCAACACCTGGCTGATGCTGTGACCCGCATTACGAATATGGTGAGAGTTCCATTCTGAGGCCTCTTATCAGATATTATCAACTGATATCAACTTCACTTCCTATCACCCACCAATAGTGTTCCCGTCACACCCTCTACGTCACTTCTTGGAACCAATATCTCGCTGCTACTGGGACCGGCGCTATGAATTTCGTGTCAAAGAGACAGACGCACACGCACGGACATAGTCGATTATATATGGTAGAATTGTAACCGTTGTCCCAATGTAGCGCTGAAATCTATCCTTTTGTCCATTCTTTTCTCGGGGTTAGTACCAAAAATCTCCATAACCCTCACACGAAAATTCAGTAACCTGTAAGAGCAGCCTTCGAAGCATCCTACCGCTCAATGCGTTCTCCACCACTGTAGGGTTTTTTTTCTGGAATGCACTCCCGCATTCGGCAGTCTTGCGCTTCGAATGGTCCTCTCTCGGGTTGTTGATGGAAGATAATCATGGTCATAGTGATAAAGTTAGTTGCTGCAGTTCATGGCAACTGAG